AGGAAGGAAGGCTGGGGAGAGAGGAGGAGAGGGGCCCTCAGCTGCCCCCCAGCCCCGCCCAGGCTCCGTCACCTCGTGGGGGGTTAGTCTCCTGTGTCACCTCGGCCTCCTCGGCCGCGCCCCGGTCCCCAGTGTTGGGTCAGACACCAGCCTAGATGTTTCTGTGAAGGTATTTTTTATTTTTTTATTTTTTAAAACATATTTTTATTGATTTCAGAGAGGAAGGGAGAGGGAGAAAGAGATACAAACGTCAATGATGAGAGGGAATCACGGACCGGCTGCCTCCTGCACGCCCCCCACGGGGGATGGAGCCTGTGCCCTGAGCGGGAATCGCACCGTGACCTCCTGGTTCCTAGGTCGACACTCAACCACGGAGCCGCCGGTCGGCTGAGGACACAGTTCTGTGTACAAGCATCAGCTCTAAACAGTGAAAGCAGCGTCTTTCCCTGCGCCTGTCCCCCTCACCGGGTCGCCCGTTCCCGGCAGGGAGCCCACAATCCCTCGTTTTCCTGCTCATCTCCGGGCCGTGGCGACGCCGCCTAGCGTTGCTAACACTGACCGTTGGTGTCTTCTCCGCTTTTCCCGGGTCAGTCTGGCTAGAGGCTCCGGCCACGGCCTCCTCAGAGCCCGCGTGGCGCCCGCTGCTCTCCGGTGCTCGGTGCTCGCGGCTCCCGCTCTCACTCTGACTCAGGTTCTTCTCCTGGCGCCTGGGGCGGGGTGTGGGGGGCAGGGGTCGTTCTGCTTTCCTCTCGCAGCCGTTCAGTGTAGGCGTCCCCCACGGACTGCGCACCCCTCCACGCTGAAGTCCTGGCTCTGGGGACCCCAAAGACCAGTTCTCGCCCCTCAGTCCTGCCTCCAGTCTCTTGCCAGCTTTTGGACGCTGGGCTGACGGGGGACACCCCCCGACCCCGGTCCTTCAGGGAGAGTTGAGGGAGAGGGATGTGGAGGCCCCGTGGCTGCAGGAGGGGCCTCTGAGGGGCTGGGGAGCGCCCACCGCGGTGACCCTGGGGCTCGGGGCTCAGAAAGAAGCCGGAGACGGAGAGGAGCCCCTCTCTCCTGCCCACCTCCCGGCAGTGCCCGCGAGAGCGGAATATCTGTGGGGCTGCGGGGTCCTCGCGGGCAGGACAGGGACTGACGAGGATGGAGGGGGCCGGTTGCTTATTCAAAAACAAGTGAAATAACTTCAAACTGGAAACCATGTTTACAGAGAATCTTTGACGACAGGAGACCTGCTTCCGGGTGACAGTGTGGGGGTGGGGTGGGGGGAGGGCAGCAGCGAGAAGGACATGGGTGTTCGTGTGAGCACCCTCTGAGCACAAGCAGGGCCTCGGGACTAGCGTGGGGTGACCACGCCCGGAGCCCCGGCCCTGCACGCAGTGTGGGAACCAGCCCCTGTGCCCGTGGGGCCCGGGCTCAAGCCCGAAAGGGACACACTGTGGCCCAGAGGCCCCGGCCCAGGCACCCAGGACATTCCAGCTTCCAGACACGGCTGGCGGCTGATGACTGGGGAGAGGAGGTGATGTGGGCCAGGCCGAGGGCACAGGGCTCTCCGGGGAGGGGAGGTGAGTGACTGGAGGGTGGCCACACAGATTGCTGTCCAAGTGATATCACCGCCTTGGGCACCGTGGGGGCTGAACCAGAGGTAGGACATACGGACAGGCTGGTCACCGGAGACCTTCCCCTGCCCACGGCAGGACATAGGGTGCCAGACTCTCCATGGCCACTCCCTCCCCACAGAGCTCACCATGGGGACGGAGCATCAGGGTGACCAGCCTGGCAGGGAGGGCCCCATGACACACGGCTCACACAGCAAGGAGCTGGGAGACAGCGGGAGGGCGGAGCCAGGAACATGGGGGCCTACGGGACCCATCGTGAACTATGGGAGGACAGAAGTGCAAGGCCAGGCGCAAATATCTGAACAGAATAACAAGCGAACTAAAGCATACACTCTGATAATCACTAAAATACAAAAACCCTAACGCTAACCCTAACCCTAACCCTAACCCGAAGCCTAGCCCTAACCCTAGCCGTAACCCTAACCCTAATCCTAGCCCTAACCCTAAGCCTAACCCTAACCTTAACCCTAGCCCTAACCTTAACCCTAGCCCTAACCTTAACCCTAGCCCTAACCTTAACCCTAGCCCTAACCTTAACCCTAGCCCTAACCTTAACCCTAGCCCTAACCTTAACCCTAGCCCTAACCTTAACCCTAGCCCTAACCTTAACCCTAGCCCTAACCTTAACCCTAGCCCTAACCTTAACCCTAGCCCTAACCTTAACCCTAGCCCTAACCTTAACCCTAGCCCTAACCTTAACCCTAGCCCTAACCTTAACCCTAGCCCTAACCTTAACCCTAGCCCTAACCTTAACCCTAGCCCTAACCTTAACCCTAGCCCTAACCTTAACCCTAGCCCTAACCTTAACCCTAGCCCTAACCTTAACCCTAGCCCTAACCTTAACCCTAGCCCTAACCTTAACCCTAGCCCTAACCTTAACCCTAGCCCTAACCTTAACCCTAGCCCTAACCTTAACCCTAGCCCTAACCTTAACCCTAGCCCTAACCTTAACCCTAGCCCTAACCTTAACCCTAGCCCTAACCTTAACCCTAGCCCTAACCTTAACCCTAGCCCTAACCTTAACCCTAGCCCTAACCTTAACCCTAGCCCTAACCTTAACCCTAGCCCTAACCTTAACCCTAGCCCTAACCTTAACCCTAGCCCTAACCTTAACCCTAGCCCTAACCTTAACCCTAGCCCTAACCTTAACCCTAGCCCTAACCTTAACCCTAGCCCTAACCTTAACCCTAGCCCTAACCTTAACCCTAGCCCTAACCTTAACCCTAGCCCTAACCTTAACCCTAGCCCTAACCTTAACCCTAGCCCTAACCTTAACCCTAGCCCTAACCTTAACCCTAGCCCTAACCTTAACCCTAGCCCTAACCTTAACCCTAGCCCTAACCTTAACCCTAGCCCTAACCTTAACCCTAGCCCTAACCTTAACCCTAGCCCTAACCTTAACCCTAGCCCTAACCTTAACCCTAGCCCTAACCTTAACCCTAGCCCTAACCTTAACCCTAGCCCTAACCTTAACCCTAGCCCTAACCTTAACCCTAGCCCTAACCTTAACCCTAGCCCTAACCTTAACCCTAGCCCTAACCTTAACCCTAGCCCTAACCTTAACCCTAGCCCTAACCTTAACCCTAGCCCTAACCTTAACCCTAGCCCTAACCTTAACCCTAGCCCTAACCTTAACCCTAGCCCTAACCTTAACCCTAGCCCTAACCTTAACCCTAGCCCTAACCTTAACCCTAGCCCTAACCTTAACCCTAGCCCTAACCTTAACCCTAGCCCTAACCTTAACCCTAGCCCTAACCTTAACCCTAGCCCTAACCTTAACCCTAGCCCTAACCTTAACCCTAGCCCTAACCTTAACCCTAGCCCTAACCTTAACCCTAGCCCTAACCTTAACCCTAGCCCTAACCTTAACCCTAGCCCTAACCTTAACCCTAGCCCTAACCTTAACCCTAGCCCTAACCTTAACCCTAGCCCTAACCTTAACCCTAGCCCTAACCTTAACCCTAGCCCTAACCTTAACCCTAGCCCTAACCTTAACCCTAGCCCTAACCTTAACCCTAGCCCTAACCTTAACCCTAGCCCTAACCTTAACCCTAGCCCTAACCTTAACCCTAGCCCTAACCTTAACCCTAGCCCTAACCTTAACCCTAGCCCTAACCTTAACCCTAGCCCTAACCTTAACCCTAGCCCTAACCTTAACCCTAGCCCTAACCTTAACCCTAGCCCTAACCTTAACCCTAGCCCTAACCTTAACCCTAGCCCTAACCTTAACCCTAGCCCTAACCTTAACCCTAGCCCTAACCTTAACCCTAGCCCTAACCTTAACCCTAGCCCTAACCTTAACCCTAGCCCTAACCTTAACCCTAGCCCTAACCTTAACCCTAGCCCTAACCTTAACCCTAGCCCTAACCTTAACCCTAGCCCTAACCTTAACCCTAGCCCTAACCTTAACCCTAGCCCTAACCTTAACCCTAGCCCTAACCTTAACCCTAGCCCTAACCTTAACCCTAGCCCTAACCTTAACCCTAGCCCTAACCTTAACCCTAGCCCTAACCTTAACCCTAGCCCTAACCTTAACCCTAGCCCTAACCTTAACCCTAGCCCTAACCTTAACCCTAGCCCTAACCTTAACCCTAGCCCTAACCTTAACCCTAGCCCTAACCTTAACCCTAGCCCTAACCTTAACCCTAGCCCTAACCTTAACCCTAGCCCTAACCTTAACCCTAGCCCTAACCTTAACCCTAGCCCTAACCTTAACCCTAGCCCTAACCTTAACCCTAGCCCTAACCTTAACCCTAGCCCTAACCTTAACCCTAGCCCTAACCTTAACCCTAGCCCTAACCTTAACCCTAGCCCTAACCTTAACCCTAGCCCTAACCTTAACCCTAGCCCTAACCTTAACCCTAGCCCTAACCTTAACCCTAGCCCTAACCTTAACCCTAGCCCTAACCTTAACCCTAGCCCTAACCTTAACCCTAGCCCTAACCTTAACCCTAGCCCTAACCTTAACCCTAGCCCTAACCTTAACCCTAGCCCTAACCTTAACCCTAGCCCTAACCTTAACCCTAGCCCTAACCTTAACCCTAGCCCTAACCTTAACCCTAGCCCTAACCTTAACCCTAGCCCTAACCTTAACCCTAGCCCTAACCTTAACCCTAGCCCTAACCTTAACCCTAGCCCTAACCTTAACCCTAGCCCTAACCTTAACCCTAGCCCTAACCTTAACCCTAGCCCTAACCTTAACCCTAGCCCTAACCTTAACCCTAGCCCTAACCTTAACCCTAGCCCTAACCTTAACCCTAGCCCTAACCTTAACCCTAGCCCTAACCTTAACCCTAGCCCTAACCTTAACCCTAGCCCTAACCTTAACCCTAGCCCTAACCTTAACCCTAGCCCTAACCTTAACCCTAGCCCTAACCTTAACCCTAGCCCTAACCTTAACCCTAGCCCTAACCTTAACCCTAGCCCTAACCTTAACCCTAGCCCTAACCTTAACCCTAGCCCTAACCTTAACCCTAGCCCTAACCTTAACCCTAGCCCTAACCTTAACCCTAGCCCTAACCTTAACCCTAGCCCTAACCTTAACCCTAGCCCTAACCTTAACCCTAGCCCTAACCTTAACCCTAGCCCTAACCTTAACCCTAGCCCTAACCTTAACCCTAGCCCTAACCTTAACCCTAGCCCTAACCTTAACCCTAGCCCTAACCTTAACCCTAGCCCTAACCTTAACCCTAGCCCTAACCTTAACCCTAGCCCTAACCTTAACCCTAGCCCTAACCTTAACCCTAGCCCTAACCTTAACCCTAGCCCTAACCTTAACCCTAGCCCTAACCTTAACCCTAGCCCTAACCTTAACCCTAGCCCTAACCTTAACCCTAGCCCTAACCTTAACCCTAGCCCTAACCTTAACCCTAGCCCTAACCTTAACCCTAGCCCTAACCTTAACCCTAGCCCTAACCTTAACCCTAGCCCTAACCTTAACCCTAGCCCTAACCTTAACCCTAGCCCTAACCTTAACCCTAGCCCTAACCTTAACCCTAGCCCTAACCTTAACCCTAGCCCTAACCTTAACCCTAGCCCTAACCTTAACCCTAGCCCTAACCTTAACCCTAGCCCTAACCTTAACCCTAGCCCTAACCTTAACCCTAGCCCTAACCTTAACCCTAGCCCTAACCTTAACCCTAGCCCTAACCTTAACCCTAGCCCTAACCTTAACCCTAGCCCTAACCTTAACCCTAGCCCTAACCTTAACCCTAGCCCTAACCTTAACCCTAGCCCTAACCTTAACCCTAGCCCTAACCTTAACCCTAGCCCTAACCTTAACCCTAGCCCTAACCTTAACCCTAGCCCTAACCTTAACCCTAGCCCTAACCTTAACCCTAGCCCTAACCTTAACCCTAGCCCTAACCTTAACCCTAGCCCTAACCTTAACCCTAGCCCTAACCTTAACCCTAGCCCTAACCTTAACCCTAGCCCTAACCTTAACCCTAGCCCTAACCTTAACCCTAGCCCTAACCTTAACCCTAGCCCTAACCTTAACCCTAGCCCTAACCTTAACCCTAGCCCTAACCTTAACCCTAGCCCTAACCTTAACCCTAGCCCTAACCTTAACCCTAGCCCTAACCTTAACCCTAGCCCTAACCTTAACCCTAGCCCTAACCTTAACCCTAGCCCTAACCTTAACCCTAGCCCTAACCTTAACCCTAGCCCTAACCTTAACCCTAGCCATAACCCTAACCCTAAACATAACCCTAAACCTCGCTCTAACCATAACCTTAACCCTAACCCTAACCCTAACCCTAACCCTAACCCTAACCTAACCCTAACCCTAAACCCAACCCCAACCCTAACCCTAACCCTAACCCTAACCCTAACCCTAGCCCTGGCCCTAACACTAACCCTAGCCCTAACCCTAACCCTAGGCCTAACCCTAACCCTAATCCTAACCCTAACCCTAATCCTAACCCTAACCCTAATCCTAACCCTAACCCTAATCCTAACCCTAACCCTAATCCTAACCCTAACCCTAATCCTAACCCTAACCCTAATCCTAACCCTAACCCTAATCCTAACCCTAACCCTAATCCTAACCCTAACCCTAATCCTAACCCTAACCCTAATCCTAACCCTAACCCTAATCCTAACCCTAACCCTAATCCTAACCCTAACCCTAATCCTAACCCTAACCCTAATCCTAACCCTAACCCTAATCCTAACCCTAACCCTAATCCTAACCCTAACCCTAATCCTAACCCTAACCCTAATCCTAACCCTAACCCTAATCCTAACCCTAACC